TCTAAGGAGAACTGAATATGGTTAAAATTTTAAATTACGCTTAATTTCAGTAAATCCTAAAAATACTCTTAGAGATGAAAGGACAAAAGTAGCATGTTTCTCTGGAGAGTGTCCTGGCTGAGACTTTTAAAAGGCTTAGATACATATTTTGTTCATATAACATCCCATAAAATCTACTGCTAAGTATCTTTGGATCTCAGTTTCCTCGTCTATAAAGTGAAAATACTAGTTAACCTCATTGAATCACTCTGAAAACTATATCAGATTTTAAAAAGTGAAGTAGCCAAGACAGTGATGGTCACAGTTGAACCTCAATTACTTTTTAAGCCATGAATGTAAAAGAGGGAATAAACAAATTTAGTTTATTAAGACAGTGAAAAGTTGTTCAAATTCTTCCCATTCTACCTCTCCTGTCCCACTCCCTAGCACTTCCCCTAAATCCCCACACAAACACAAAGACTTATCCCAATAAGGAGAAAAATAAAAGATTATTATCAGGAATTTCCTGCTCTTCCCCCAGCTTCCACATACACACTTCTGCTTTTTGAAAAGAAAATAGTGAAAATATGGCTTAAGTTTAGTTTATAGCCTTAACAAAGAGTCCAGAGCAGTCTCTTAGGCTGCGTCTCAGGTATGTTTTTGGCTAGTTTACCCCATCAAGTCATTTTTTAGCCTAACTAAAAAAAAATTAAGAAGTTATTAATAGAAGTTATGTTATTATTTGAATAACATACTATATGAGAATATTTTAAAAGTTTTACATTGAATTAACATGCAGCTCTGATTATGGTTGCTAAAAATAAAAAATAAATTTTAAAAAATTAAATAAATTTGTTTCCATAGAAAGATGTATTCTTCTACACTCAACCACAAAACCTTGTAAACCCATGCAGCCTTTGATTCCAAGGTTGTATAACATTAGGTGTCAAAGGAAATGCAAGATCAGGGGAATCTTAATTCATGTTCACTAAAATGAGATTAAAGGGTTAGAACGCTAATTAAACAGAGCTATTTTTACATAAAACTTTTTACTAAAAAGTATTATACTACTATTCTCAGGCTAGTAAGTAAAAAAAAAAAATATATATATATATATACACACACAAAAAGTTAAAAAAATGTATACAACTAATTTGTATTTACCATCTAGAAACTTTTTTTTTTTTTTTTTTTTTTGGGGTTTTTCTCGTTGCCCAGGCTGGAGTGCGATTGCATGATCTCGGCTCACTGCAACCTCTGCCTCCTGGGTTCAAGCAATTCTCCTGCCTCAGCCTCCCAAGTAGCTGGGATTACAGGTGTGCGCCACCAGGCCTGGTTAATTTTGTATTTTTGGTAGAGACGGGGTTTCTTCATATTGGTCAGGCTGGTCTCAAACTCCCAACCTCAGGCGATCCGCCCAAAGGGATCCTTTGGGATCCTTGGCCTCCCAAAGGCTGGGATTACAGACCATCTAGAAACTTTTAAAGATCATTCTCTCTTAATCTCTAAATTTTCAAAGTTATATTTGTAAAGTGGTTTAATTTCTGATGCATTCTTCTCCCGGGGCTCGCCCTCCATCTAAATCATCAATGCTGTTCTGATTTCAACACTTAGCGCTTTTTTATTAATTTGGTATCCCACAGAGGTTGTATAATTCTTCTCAATAATAACAGCAAATGTGTAGGGAGAACTTACTATGTACTGGGAACTATTCTAAGCATGTTGTACAGTTTTTAACACTATGAGGAAGATTCTATTATGCTGACAATTTACAATTTAGTAAACTGACACTCAGAGAGTTGAGGGAACTTGCTCAAAGTTAACAAGCTAGCAGAAAAATCCATGTGCTCTGACTTCAAATTCAAGTTCTAGACGATGACCCCATGCTAATAATCCTCTACTCCTGCTACAATGAAGAGCTGGAAGAACAGTGCTGGAACTCAGGCTTACTTTCTGTCTCTTAGGACAACACTGGAAAGAAGTGTCTATGCCTGCTCTGCTTATTTCCTTTTTCTAAATATACCCAATAGGGCTAACTTGGGTACACTAGAGTCAAAATTCTTGCTATCAAAATAAAAAAATGTAATATGGAAAAGTATATTCAAGTAAGTCCCACATACAACACTTTAATTTTATATAATAGAAAAGAGAAGTTGCATGTAAATAAAATCAATTCAACATATATTTATTGAGAATTACTATGTTCCAGGTACTTGGCATAAATCAGTGAGTAAGACAGATTAAGAATCTCTCCTTAGTGGAGGACTCTAATATGCAAAGCAGATAATAAACGATATAAAAGTATGTTACATAGCATATCAGTATGTAAAAGTTCTGGCTAAAAAAATAAAAAATAGGGCCAGGCACGGTGGCTCCCACCTGTAATCCCATCACTTTGGGAGGCCGAGGCAGGCGGATCATGAGGTCAGGAGTTCAAGACCAGCCTGGCCAACATAGTGAAACCCCATCTCTACTAAATAAAAAACAAGGTCAGGTGCGGTGGCTCAAGCCTGTTAATCCCAGCACTTCGGCTTTTACTGAGTAAAACTTTGGCTTTTATTGAGTAAAACAAGGCTGGAGGGTTTGATGCAGTCAAGTGGTAAGATCTGACCTTAAGCTACTATTATGTTGAAAAGAAATCATGAGGGGACAAAGATAGAAATAATGTGATGGGTAAAGAGGCTACTGCTAGGCCAGGTGTGGTGGCTCATGCAGTGTAATCCCAGCACTTTGGGAGGCTGAGGTAGGCAGACTTCTTGAGCCCAGGAGGTCAAGACCAGACTGGGCAACATGGCAAAATCCCATCAGTATTTTAAGAAAGAAAAAAAAAAGGCTATTGCTATAAATGATGACTCAGATGAGGATTACCGTACTCTAGCTGGTGAGAAGTGATTAGATGGAGATGAGATAATGAATCTTTTTGGACATGTTAAGCTTAAGATGTCCTGAAAACTAAGAGAAAGAGGAGCTTTAACGAAAAGAAAGTAACCATCTATAGAAAATGCTACAGACAGGTCAAGATGAGGACTCAGATTAGCAATTTAAATCAGTGGTGACCTTGATATCTTCCAAGGAGTTTTGCTACAAAGGAAAGTAAAAAATGGAAGCAGTAGGTGGTAGAATAACTGTGGGCCGGGCCGGGCGTGCTGGCTCAAGCCTGTAATCCCAGCACTTTGGGAGGCCGAGACCGGCGGATCACAGGGTCAGGAGATCGAGACCATCCTGGCTAACACGGTGAAACCCTGTCTCTACTAAAAAATACAAAAAATTAGCCGGGCGAGGCGGCAGGCGCCTGTAGTCCCAGCTACTCGGGAGGCTGAGGCAGGAGAATGGTGTGAACCCGGGAGGCGGAGCTTACAGTGAGCTGAGATCCGGTACTGCACTCCAGCCTGGGCTACAGAGTGAGACTCTGCTTCAAAAAAAAAAAAAAAAAAAAAAAAAAGAATAACGGGGGGCCAAAAGAGAACAGAGATTTTAGCTGCTGCCCACCCACAGGAAAGACAAAGTATGAAGTTTAACTTTGATCAAGTTAACTGCACAATTAAAAAAAAAAAAAAATCAAGACTCTTCAGAAGAAAGTAACAGAATACAGTCTCTACAATGTATCACTTAAGATGTTTAACATGTAATCCAAAATTACAAAGAAACAAAAATATGCATCATCATACATGAAAATTAGCAGGCAAAATTCTAAAGTGGTTGCACTGTTAATTATGCTTAAGGATTTAAAAGAAAATCTGCTCAGTATAAAAGAACAAATAGGAAATCAAGAGAAAACAGAGATAATAAAAGAACCACACAGACATTTTAAAAACAAAAAATACAGAAAATATTCTAAAAATTCATTGAATGACTAACAGATTAGAAGTTGATAAAAATCAGCAAACTTTAAGACATATTAATAGAAAGTATCCCATCTGAAGAAAACACAGAAAAAAAGACTGGGAAAAAACAGAGCCTAAGAGATATCAAAAGCTCTAAATATAGATAATTACAATCCCAGAATCAAAGAGAAGAGAGATGGGCAGAAAAAAAAGTTTAAGAAATAATGGGCCAGATTTCCCCCAAATCTGGTTTTAAAAAAAAAAAAATTAAAAAAGCATAAATTTAAAAATGCAAGAACCCCAACAAATCCCAAGCAGGATAAACCAAAAGAAAACTGTACCTAATCATGTCACAGTTAAACATCTGAAAACGAAAGATAAATAATCTTAAAAGCAGCAAGAAGAAAATGACACATTATACCTAGAGGAACAGTAACATAAATGAACGCTGACTTCTCATCAAAAACAATGGAAGGGCTGGCTGCGCAAGGTGGCTCACATCTATAATCTCAGGTCTTTGGAAGGTCGAGGTGGGCAGATCACCTGAGGTGAGGAGTTCAAGACCAGCCTGGCCAACATGGTGAAACCCTATCTCTACTAAAAACACACACACACAAAAATTAGCCGGGCATGCTGGCACCCACTTGTAGTCCCAGCTACTCTGGAAGTTGAGGCAGGAAAATCACTTGAACCCAGGAGGCGGAGGTTGCAGTGAGCCAAGATTGCGCCACTGCACTCCAGCCTGGATGGTGACAGAGCAAGACTTTGTCTCAAAAACAAACAAACAAACAAACAAATAACAACAACAATAAAAATGAAAGCCGGAAGAATAGGAATGACATCTTTAAAGAAAAAAAAGTCAACCAGAATCCTATCCAGTGAAAATATCCTACTGGGATGAAAGCCAAAAAAAGACATTTTCACCTAGAGAAGTTTAAGAGAATACATCTTTAGCAGATCTACACTAAAAGAAATGCTGTTCTTCGGGTTGAAAGAAAATGAGACCAAATGGAAATGTGGATCTTTGGGAAGAAACGAAGAGCAATGAAAATAATAAACAGGCAGGAAAATATGAAAAATATCATTTTTCCTCTTAAAATACACGACTGTTTAAAGATCTGAGAGCTTAGAAATCAGTCTCAGAAGTGATTTCTCCCTTCTTATTCCCCCTTCTATATTAATAGAAAAGTACAATACCTGTTTTAGTTTCAAAAAGAAATTTTCAGTAGTACTACGTTTGCTGAAGGGCCAGAATAATCTTTCATTAGGTGAGCAAACGCGGACTTTTGTCTCCAGGAGAAATCGAACAGGCTCCTGTACTTCTGTTATTACCAAATCTACAGCTGTGGTCATAAACAGGACTTTATCTAAACAAAGAAAGAGAGAGGCTGAAGAGGTAAATCAGAAACACAAATGTATTTGCTCATAAGATTCCATAAAAGCTATTTCATTATAAACTTTCAAGATACCTTAAGTATCAACTAAACATGTAAATAATTAGACAAATAACCGATTTCAAAAAAAAAAATTCCACACTGAGAATTATTTTAAAGTAACTGACAGTAGTATACACTGTAAAACTTTTAAAACTGTACTGTCATCGGGAGACCAAGGCAGGCAGATCACTAGAGCCCATGAGTCCAGCCTGGCCAACACGGTTAAACATCGTCTCTACTAAAAATACAAAAATTAGCCAGGTGTGGTGGCACATGCCTGCAGTCCCAGCTACTTGGGAGGCTGAGGTAGGAAAATCACTTAAACCCGGGAAGTAGAGGCCACAGTGACACAAGACCGCGCCACAGCATTCCAGCCTGGGTGACAGAGTGAGACTCTGTCTCAACAAAACAAAAATAAACAAAAAAAAACCACTGTACTGTCAGATTTTTCTGCACAAGTGGCATATGACTTCTTTATGGCACCCTCATCAACACTGAGACTTCTCAAGTTTTAAACTTGGTTAACAATGGTATTTGAATGGTCTGCTTATATCCTTTAACTATTTATTTATACTGCTATTAATAACAAAAAATTGAAGGGGGGAAAATGCTCAATAAGAGGCATTTATTAAGCTAATTACATTTTCAGAATGGGATAATATGCAGCTATTAAATGTCATTCAAAGAGCATATGAAATATCTTCCAGATACTTTATGCATAGAGTATTTGAAAAGCTACACAAGAAACTGCTAACAGTGATTCCTTTGGGACGGAGCCGTGGGGACTGTGGTAGACTCACTTTTCCCTGTAAATCCTTTGAAATTTTTAACCATTTATTGCATGGATTACCTCTGTACAAAAATAAAACCTAGAAGTCTGTAAGTAAATAAGCATATAAATAGAAAGAAAAGAAAGAGGGGAAGGAAAAAATGAAAAAAAGGATGGAAAAGTGGGAAAAAGTGACACTTTGCTTACAGATCAAATTTAATAATAAACTGAAGAACTATTCAAATTCTTTGGTTTCACCAGAATTAGGTAAACACTGGATATTGGTTAAAGAAGTGGTCCTTAGTTTTGCGTATCTTCTTGAGACTAAAATTTCTGTTCATGATGTCAACAAATAGTATCACCTTTAGGAGTTTCTTCATTTACAACTTGAAAATGTGGGGATTTTGGATTCCAGCTCCCAGTAATAACATAGGACTTTCCATCTGAACTTTTGCCCATAGATTCCTAGAAAAAAAGAGTAAAGATAAATCTGAATGCCAAAGTGAGTGAACAACAGTTAACCCCTATCTTGCTGCCTTTAAAAACCAGAAGCTGCAAAAATATAAGAATATGGAGGAGGATCAGATAAGTGTATGTGAATGATTACATTTATGGTAAAAAAATGTGGCAATTATTTATGCAACTGTCCTGAAGTTACATGTAAATGCTTATGAAACATATCAAATTGTATACACGTTAAGAAAATCCACAACCTAAATCTGATGCTGGATTCTTCTTTAAAGTGAATTATCACCATATAATTTTTAGTTCTGAAAATAAAGATTTTCAGATAATGGGAATAATACTAATAACTCCTACTATTGGTAAGGATACATGACAGTCTATAATAATTCTTCAATAAATTTTCTCTTTTGATTATCACATCAACCGTACTCAAATATTTAAACAAGAATTTTATCATCACCACACAGATAACAGACCAAGGCTTATCCAAAGTCAGACTTGTAAACAGCTAGTCAGGAAAAAGGAAGTTACCTTATCTTTGTATATTGTTTTATAGCTTAAAAGATCACCTTTATAAACATGTTTTAACATTAGATTCAGATGAGAAAAAATGAAACAACCTTTACTGAGGAAACAGTATGTAACTTTCTAGCAAAAATAAATTCTTACCAAATCTAATAAGTGCATGTCACTATTTCGTACATCTTTTCCTGGACTAAGGAGAAGACCAAAACACCTGCAAAAAAAGAACTGACATAAATTTAAGAAAAAAGATAACACAAAAGAACGTTTAAATTAGGCCACTTTAAAAACAAATTCTTGCTGATAGAAAAGAAGACACATTAGAATTATCAATACATTTGTGTCGCTAAAATAATAATCCTTGCTTCAAGATAAGCTAATTCTGTTTGCCTTTTATTACCACATACTTGAAGAGAGCATATTAGCTGATGATTTCTAGTAGCTATTTCAAAGTAATGAAGCACTGACTTCAGTAAACAAAATAATATCCTAGGGAACAAAATACTTTGAAAATACATTTTTTAATACAGTGTAAAACTATGCCATTAGATTGATAAAAGTCAAAATTTATATTTAAGCTAAACTTACTAAAAATGCTTACCTTTCAATGGCAAGTTCTTTATTAGTTGTTTGCTGCACATAGATGACAATCTTCTTATCAATTCCTTGGCGTAGTTTAAAGCATTGTCTGTCCTTATCTTTGGGAACTGCACTGTAGACCAACATGTTTCATTAATTTTGCAAAGCATTTTCTTGTCACATACTAGAACCATTTTTTTTAAACAAAGACCTCAAATCTCTGATTCTTTTCTGTGCCTGGTTTGCAAATAATAACAAAAAAGAAAAAAATCATTGTATGCCTCTTGATGTGAAAATATCATTTGAGGCTGGGCATGATGGCTTACACCTGTAATCCCAAAACTTTAGGAGGCTGAGGTGAGTGGATCACTTGAGGTCAGGAGTTTGAGACCAGCCTGAGCAACATGGTGAAACCGCATCTCTACTAAAAATATAAAAATAAGCTGAGTGTGGTGGCACAGGCCTATAGTCCCAGCTATTCAGAAGGCTGAGGCAGGAGAATCACTTGAACCAGGGAGGGAGAGGTTGCACTGAGCCGAAACTGCGTCACTGCACTCCAGCATGGGTGACAGAGTGAGACTACATCTCAAAAAAAAAAAAAAAAAAAAAAAGAAAATACCATTTGATATTTGCAGGTAAACCACTAAAGCATTTATAAAGCTAGAAAAATCACTCCTACGTCCCCTAAAACAATCTCAATTTTCTCTCTTTTGTTGCTGTAAAGCATCTTGCATGGCATCTGATATACAGAACTCAAAAAAAGTAAGTATTCTTTCCTTTATATTTATCACTGGGTTTTACAGATAAATTATTATCACCTTCTTTGCTTAAATATATCATGAAGAAAAAGATACTTAATCATAGATCTTTTGAGTTTCAAAAAAAGTTATCTTTAAAAAGTAATAGAAATGAGGAAGATATGGCCAATAATAAGCTGTTGCCTAACACTTCCCTTAAGCACTGTTATCTTTATTATAAACCAGTATAATAATTATAAAATACTAACTAGTGATAAAGTTAATAAACATCAGCTTAATTTAAAAGGTAAAAATATTCTTTTTCTTTTTTTGAGACAGAATCTTGATCTGTTGCCCAGGCTGCAGTACACTGGCACAATCTCATAGTTCACTACAGCCTCAAACTCCTGGGCTCAAGCTATCTTCCTGCCTCAACCTCCAGGATACCGAGGATTACAGTTACACACCGCCATGCCTGGTTAATTTTTTAATTTTTTGTAGAGATGGGTCTTGCTATGTTGCCCAGGCTGGTCTCAAACTCATGGGCTCAAGCAAACCTCCCACCTCGGCCTCCCCAAGTGCTGTGATTACAGATGCGAACCACAGCAAAGTTCTTAAAATGACAGTTTAACAAAATAATCCCCTATTCTCCCACATACCACTTTCTCTAGCTCATTGTTCTCAAAGGTAAATGTCTGTGGCCATCAGTAATATGCAAAAAATCTAAATTGTATCTTATTTCTGTACAACTTTAAGATAATGGCAATAGAACCATTAGTAGCTACCGTAAATGGCTAGATGAAAGCTCTGAATACCTACTCAAAATTAAAGGTAGCCCTAAAGAAATACTAATTTGAAGCCCTTCTGCACTTTATTACTATTTATACTAATTCAAGAACATTTTTGAATACTTCCATTAGAAAATCAAAGAACCCTAGCAAAGAAGTCTAAAAATGACAAAAATGTTCAAAGAAAATCTTTGCATACCAAACTGTTAAATATTTGTGACAGAGTTTTCACCTATAAGGAAATGGAAGGGTCTCAATTTTCAACTGCTAATAGATACACTGGTCTCTATGTTCTCTGGATGCTCAAGTAAATATAATCTCATTGTTTAGCAGTTTAAAACAACAACAGATAGAAAGTTGTCTTTGGTGTCCTGAATCTACAGGGCTACAGTAACATGAAGCAGAATGGAGAGTGTAATCAGCGGGTGTGCACCTCACTGAATGCCAGGGTCCTAGATTATATTTCTGGTCTAATAACTACATCATTGAATGTATCCAAGCTGGGAATTTAGTATTTAATTTCTATTGTATAAAATAAGAAACTGAAGTCCAGGCTTAATTTCCCTGGGTTTACCTATAAATAAGCACAATATAAACTACCCAGTTTATCTCAGGAGGATGGTAAGTGGATTAAGTAAAACAAAAAAAGAAGTGTTTTGAATGGTGCATTGAATGAAAATGCTCAATTTAGGTCAGGCACGGTGGCTCATGCTTGGAATCCCAGCACTTTGAGAGGCTGAGGTGGGTGGATCATTTGAGGTCAGGAGTTCGAGACCAGCCTGGCCAAATAGTAAAACCCTGTCTCTACTAAAAACACAAAAATTAGCCGGGCATCGCAGCACATGTCTGTAATCCCAGCTACCTGGGGGGCTGAGGCAGGAGAATCACTGGAACCTGGGAGGCAGAGGTTGCCGTGAGCCGAGACTGCGCCAGTGCACTCCAGCGTGGGTGACAGAGAGAGACTCCATCTCAAAAAGAAAAAAAAGTGTGAGACCCTATCTCAACAAACAAACAAATGCTCAGTTTTCCCATGGGCAAAATGGAGAAGCAGGTTTCCAATTACAATTATATTTAAAAATTGGCCAGGCGCAGTGGCTCATGCCTGTAATCCCAGCAACTCGGGAGGCTGAGGCGGGTGGATCACCTGAAGTTAGGAGTTTGAGACCAGCCTGGCCAACATGGTGAAACCTTGTCTGTACTAAAAGTACAAAAAGTAGCTAGGCGTGGCAGCAGGTACCTATAATCCTAGCTACTCAGGAGGTTGAAGCAGGAGAATTGCTTGAACCCGGGAGAAGGAGGTTGCAGTGAGCCAAGATCGCACCAATGCACTCCAGCCTGAGCAACAAGAGCAAAACTCCGTCTCAAAAAAAAATAATAATAATAATTTAAAAATTAGACTTTTTCAGAAATGAGAAGAGCATTATTCTTATCACACTTTGTCTATATTTATGTTAAAGTAAAACCATAGTAAATCTTGTGTTGTGTTATACACAAATATGAGTTGGACAGGGGATAAGTAATATCCATGAACCAACATGTTTTACTACTCTATTCAACATTTAATTTCTACTTTTAAAATTTGCTATTAATATTATACACAATACGTTGGAGAACATTCATGTTAATAATTCTTTGAAAACCTCAATGATTATTTCTGCAGATAAATTCCCATACATATTACAGAATGACTGGATAAGAGGAACTGCATTTGACAAATTTAAATCTGACAAACCAAGGTATATTTTGCTATGATTTCATACATCTAAAGTACTGTTGTGTTAACCTAATACATTTAGGTATAATAATTATTTTGGCATAATTATTATTTAGGTATAATATTTAGGTAAAAATATTTAGGTATAATAGTAAGTAAATAATAGGTTTTATAAAATTATATAATAGCATAATAATTATACAACTACTACGTAATTTATATGTATAATATACAATTATTATTATACCTAAACATATTTAACCTAATATATTTAGGTACCTTGATCATTATACTGAAATAATATATTTAAGTTCCAACCCGGCCAATATGGTGAAACCCCATCTCTACTAAAAAGCACAAAAATTAGCCGGGTGTGGTGGGAGGCGCCTGTAATCCCAACTACTGGGGAGGCTGAGGCAGGAGAATTGCTTGAACCCGGGAGGCGGAGGTTGCAGTGAGCCAAGATCGCACCACTGCCCTCCAGCCTGGACGACAGAGCGAAACGGTCTCAAAAAAAAATGAAATTTAAGTTAACACAACAGTATTTATTATAAACCAGAAATTCAGTAAAGTCATGTAGCAAAAGGAAAACAAAGTCCTAACAAACGTGAAAAGCAAATTTGACCATTCAGGGATTTTTTGTAATAGCACTTTGTCAGTATGAGGGTAAATAGAACAAAGATGTTTATGATCATTCTACCTTGAATATGCCTGATTTCAGAAGGAAGAGAAGTTATACTGATACTTCTGAGGGATCTTAATCTTTCCTATTTAATAATTAGAATTTACAGACCAAAATTACATAAATATTTTCAATAAAGAAAAAAAGGCCAGGCGTGGTGAAACAATGCCTATAATCCCAGCACTTTGGGAGGCCAAGGTAAATGGATCACTTGAGGCTGGAAGTTTGAGACCAGCCTGGCCAACACGGCGAAACCCTGTCTCTACTAAAAAATACAAAAAATTAGCCGGGCATGGTGGCAGGCGCGTGTGATCCCAGCTACTCAGGAGGCTGAGGCACGAGAATTGCTTGAACCCGGGAGACGGAGGTTGCAGTGAACCGTGATCGTGCCACTGCATTCCAGTCTTGGTGACAGAGAGAGGCTGTCTCAAAAAAAAAAGAAAGAAAAAATATTTAGTTTAAAGGTTGCTTAACAAGGTAAAAAACTACTTAAAATTATACAGACAATAATTTCCACTTTGCAGGGCACGAAGGTACACTGCAGGAAGGACTATCTCACAGCATTGCTTTGAGAATAGAAATGACCAGGAATGGTGGCTCATGCCTGTAATCCCAACACTTGGACAAGCCGAGACTATCACTTGAGCCCAGGAGTTCAAGACCAACCTGGGCAACGTGGCAAGACCCCATCTCTAGAAAAATTTTTTTAAAAAAGTAGCCAGACATAGTGGTGTGCATCCATGGTCCCTGCTACTCAGGAGGGTGAGGTGGGAAGACTGCTTGAGACCAGAAGGTTGAGGCTGCAGTGAGTCATGTTTGTACCACTGCACTCCAGCCTGAGCAACAGCATGAGGCGTACCTCAAAAAAAAAAAAAAAAGAGAGAGAGAGAATAGAAATGTATACAATTAGAAAGCACAGAGCACAATGCCTCATACTTTACTCCTCAAAGTTTAAGCTGAACTGTACACTAAATTGGCCACCAGATGGCATGACAATTCCAAAGTCTGAAGAGACTAATTATCAGTTTTTCTAATAAATAGTCTAATAAACCAATCACTGTGCTTCTTAATTTAAAAACAAAATATTAGAAATATTCATAATTTTATATAACTTCATTTTACCAATTTAATGAAGTAGTCATGGAGGAAACAGACATGCAATTATTGATTATAATACAATCATTTTGTGACATGGGCTATAATTTTTAAAAAATCAAGTCATCTTGCAACCACAAAATTTTAAAGTGAGAGAGGGTTTTAGAGTCTAGCCACCTCATTTAATAAATGAGGAAATTACTGACAGATGTAAAGAAACTTGGAAATGGGGACACTGTTAATAGTAACAACAATTAAACTAAAGCTAAGTTTTGACTTCTATTCCATGTTTTTTTCCACCACTCAAAGAATTATCATTACATTTAAAAATTAAAATCAGTGCTTCTAACCCTACAGAAGATTAGACTTCAGATACAGACCTTATTTCTCCCCTTCCAATGTATGCAGATAACTTTACTGGGAAAACCTGACTTGAAAATGCTTAAGATTTTTCGATTACTAATACAAGTAAATCAACCAACTAAAACAAGCAAATACAATCAGCAAAACAAATATAGCTACAAATCCAGCTAAGCTTTGGCCATATACATACATATATACACACATATATACACGTGTGTGTATGTGTATATACACATACGTGTATATATACATATGTGTGTGTGTTTATACACACACACATATTTTTATATATATATATATATTTTTTCGAGACGGAGTTTCGTTCTTGTTGCCCAGGCTGGAGTGCAATGGCAGGATCTCTGCTCACTACAACAACCTCTGCCTCCCAGGTTCAAGCAATTCTCCTGCCTCAGCCTCCTGAGTAGCTGAGATTACAGGCACCTGTCACCATGCCCGGCTAATTTTGTATTTTTAGTAGAGATAAGGTTTCTCCATGTTGGTCAGGCTGGTCTCAAACTCCCGACCTCAGGTGATCTGCCCACCTTAGCCACCCAAAGTGCTGGGATTACAGGCATGAGCCACAGCGCCCGGCACTTTGGCCATATTCTTATGAGCAGTTAGCCACTTGGTATCTGACTAAAAGAAGGTAGTAACATGTTCCCCATATGACAATTTTTTTTAATTGCTTTAAAATTCTTCAAACTTTGCCTCTGTTAAATTTATGTATTTATTTTCCTTTATCACCCACATTTTTTAAAAAGCCCTCCCTTTAAAAGCAATCATTTTATGGTATGAAAGTTATAATCTGACCTAGAATTTCCCCTGAACCACAGCATGTTAATACATGAATAAAATAAGATTCCCTACCTAAAATAACCTTTACCATCATCTTCTTTTATTTCTAAAGACACAGAGAAGGTAAAGATGTCACTGTCAGGAGTCTGGGGTGCAGCAGTGGCTGAAAGTGGGGTCTGCTTGGCAGAACGGCGGAAGGCAGTGGCAAAACTGTAAAGTATCCGGCTTACCTACAACCAGACATGTTAGGAAATGGGCTGTTATCAAAAGATATAAAATACTTTTATTAAGGATGAAAGGTTACCTACTTTGGAAGACGATAATTATCTTTATCCCACTTATTTCTTTTGGTAAATTACCTAATTTGTTAGGCCTATAAAGCAAGCAACACTGAAAGTGGTCAGACAAGGGGTTTTAAAAAAAGAAATGGTTGTAAGCACTATAAATCCAATTAAAAATCATTTCCTAAATTGTTTGAAACTATCTGAAGATATTACAATGAAAACAGTCCTAACAAGTTCTGATTTAAAAGAATGGTTTGCAAATCTGACAACGTTAGAACCAGAATGCCTACTTAACCCAATCAAAAGTAGCCAACAGGTCTCCTCTGACATTCTTAGTAGTAACAACAAAGTTCTGGTTAATCAAATTTTTAGTTAATTTATATGTCGGCCCATCAGGCTAGAATCACTAAAACACTAGCACAGAATTTCATCTGGCTCATAAGTGACCATAATAAATACCATAATCATTTCAACCTAGTGAGAGCACTGGTGAAGTTTCATTTGCAGAGAGTCTTCTCTTGAGGACTTACAGCTTCTTGTATTTCACACCGGAAGACGTGTATTCTGAAGAGTTCTGCATTGTAATGACTTTCAGTGAAAGCAAAACAGTCACTCTCAGGAGTTCCATCATGCCCTCTGACACAGAAGAGAATTTTGTAGATAGGGTAGTTTGCTATTTCAGTGTTTGTCTGAGGATCTAAGAGTCTGTTCAGAGAAAAAGATACAGAGATATTAGAGGAATTATGAACAATCTGCACTACGTTTATATTAAGATGTGAGACTCATCCTTTCTAGTAAGAAGATCATATATTTGGTATGCTAATATTAACCTTAAATTTTAAAAAGTCAGTCCTATGTGAATTCCGGAAGCTATTGATTACATAATTCCACAGTACTAAAAACTATATGGTATCATGTTTTAGGGAGGCAAACAGAAAGGTATAAAAAATATGAATAAGCACATTTCTTATATAGTCTGCAACAAACTAAAGACAAGATTAACACGTAAATTAGCCTACCAAAATACACTGAAGCTGCGCCTCTGTTTTTTTTTTTTTTTTTTGAGATGGAGTTTCGCTCTTGTTGCCCAGGCTGGAGTGCAACGGCGCGATCTTGGCTCACTGCAACCTCCACCTCCTGGGTTCAAGCGATTCTCCTGCCTCAGCCTCCCAAGTAGCTGGGATTACAGGGATGTGCCACCATGCCTGGCTATTTTTTGTATTTTTGGTAGAGACGGGGCATGTTAGCCAGATGGTCTCAATCTTCTGACCTCAGGTGATCTGCCCGCCTAGGCCTCCCAAAGTGCTGGTATAATAAGCGTGGGCCACCGCACCTGGAGAAGCTGAGTTTCTAATTATCTCCTTTAAAAACGACCTAATCTGCTATGAAAAAATAAAAAAACAAAAAACTGATGCTTTTTCTCAGACTGAAACATGTTTTTTTTTTTGATTCATGGAAAATAAAGACAGAGATTATACAAAATGCTAACTCAAAAAAAAAAAATCATGAATAAAAGCAAAAGAATGCCATTCAGTAAAAAATCAAAGGAATAGCTTTCATTCAAAAATCTACTTATTCAACGAATATTTATGTGATACCTAAAACATTCCAGACTCTATTCAGGGCACTAAGGCACAACTATGAAAGGTCTAAAAAGAAACTACGCAATTTCAACGCTACGTAGGTAGAGCTATTAATGGGGAAAGCCTAGAAGGCCTTGCTCATCACGGAAATGCCTAGGAAGAAGATCTAATGCAAGTTTGAAAGCACTTTCATGAAAACTCTGAAAATGTGGGGTAAGACCAACTAGCTTTCTAACTTCCTTTATAAAATTAAAAATATATTAAAGTATAACTTCAGTTAGAGGGATGAGTATTGACTAAGAAACATTTAGAAATGAATGCTAAACAAATTCTATTAATAGTTTATCATTAATAAATAGAATTTGTGAGTCTTTGTGAAATAGTTCTTTAAATACTTCAGGGGAAAAATTACATATACAGATTATTTTACTACAATCAACAGACAGCTATTACTCTGTCACCATGAAAGTCCAAAATACTTCTGAGGATACTGAGAAATGGACACTCTATATACTGCTGATAAAAGTATAAACTGGATCAATATTTCTAGATGGCTAGTTGGCAATGTTATCAGAAGCAATAAAAACAGACAAACTCATTAAGTTTACTTCTAGGAATTTATCCTAAGGAAATCAACAGAAGTCTAAAAAGATTGAGCTCAAAGATACCTATGTCTAAAACACTGATATTCCCGTATAATTAAAATTAGCTATCATTAGTCATGCTTTTTTCTCTGAAAGATAAAAACCTTAAGATGTCTAATATAAGTGATGAGTTATTTATGTATAACCCATTAATGTGCCATCATAAATTAAAATTTTTAATCATATTTACTGGCATGAAAAGAGGTTTATGATATAAAACTAAGTACAAGATGGTATGGACAGTTCCATTGTTGTTAAAAAAAAGTTGATTCTAACAGTTGTATAATTATGTACGTATATATATGCAGGTATATTCACACATACATAGACATATACACATACCAATATGCAAAGATCTTAATAAGCCAAGATGTTAACTGTATTTATTAGTGGTAGAGTAGAATTAAGGCTATTTTATGTGGTAATTTAAACAAGCATGAATCTTTGGTAACAGCAGAAAAGAATTTATTTTAGCTGCACTCGTCTGACTTATTGAGCAACTGTATATTTAGCTGGTTGATACAGACATCTGGTTAGCTATCTGCAATTGTTATTTGTTCTATTAGTATAAACAGCCATTTCTAGAGGCTTCTCTGTGCCTCAGTTTTTTCCTTTTTTTCCTTTTGTTTTGTTGAGAGAGGGTCTCACTTTGTCACTCAGTCTGGAGTGAAGTGGCATGATCACAGCTCACTGCAGCCTTCAACTCCCAGGCTCAGGTGATCCTCCCATTTCAGGCTCCTGAGTAGCTGGAACTACAGGTGTGTGCGACCATGCCTGGCTAATTTTTTTATGTTTTGTAGAGACAGGGTTTCACCATGTTGCCCAGGCTGGTCTCGAACCCCTGAACTTAAGTGATCAACCCGTCTCAGCCTCTCAAAGTGCTGGGATTACAGGCATGAACCACTGCACCTGGCCAGTTTTCTCATCATAAAAATTAAGGGGTGTACTGGTATAGTTAATATTTAACAATAAATTTTTGTAACTTTCAAACTCAGCATGAAACTCCATTTTGAACTACTGTGTCAAGCTTGTATTTTCATCAAAGGAACATGGAAAATACAATCTTTTAGGCTGACTCATGTCAATGTATTTCATTTATCCCCAAAACATTGAAAGTCTAATGTACTACACATGACTAGGAAGAGTATGAAAAACTATTACAAATAAGTGACCATTTTTCACAAAGGTTACAGTCCTTGGAAGACATAGCATGAGTGTCAGGTAAATGAAACATTACACAAGTAAAGTAAGTATTAATATGTATTTTATTCACTATTGCTTCTTTCTAAAGCAACAGGTCAGAGATCTGATGTAAATACTAAAATATTTCAATAAACCAGTCTCACCTCACAATTCCTTCAGATACATTTGGCACTGAAAGGGTAACATTTAGTGAAATCTGACACTGGCTTCTTAAGATGGACATCATCCTTAAGGCTTCCACTTCACTCCTGGGAGCATTTACTGAGGCACAGCCTAAGTAAGTCAGTTTACTGAAAACTACGCTGTCCTCATCGGCCACTGGTGTGAAAGGACTTGAAGCTTCAGAACCTGAAAGAAACAAAGAATAAGGAAGTGATTATTTTCACTTTGATATTTTGTTGATATGATTAGCAAGTAAAAATCTGCAAGTAACATTTAGGGTCTAAAATTAAGTATTAATGAGATAATATGCCATACCCTAAAAGAAATGCCCATGAAAGCCAGAAATCTCACACTAGAACTCTGTCAGAAACACCAAGATTTTTAGGTACAGGTTGAGTATCCTAAATTCAAAACTCTGAAATATGAAATGTTTCAAATTTCAAAACCTTTTGAGCACCTACATGACACTTAAAATAAATACTATTTGGGGAATTTCAGATTTCTTTTTTTTTTTTTTTTTTTTTTTTGAGACGGAGTCTTGCTCTGTAGCCCGGGCTGGACTGCAGTGGCCGGATCTCAGCTCACTGCAAGCTCCGCCTCCCGGGTTTACGCCATTCTCCTGCCTCAGCCTCCGGAGTAGCTGGGACTACAGGCGCCTGCCACCTCGCCCGGCTAGTTTTTTGTATTTTTAGTAGAGACGGGGTTTCACCGTGTTAGCCAGGATGGTCTCGATCTCCTGACCTCGTGATCCGCCCGTCTCGGCCTCCCAAAGTGCTGGGATTACAGGCTTGAGCCACCGCGCCCGGCCGAATTTCAGATTTAGGGTGCTCAGCAGGCAATTATATGCATATTTCAAAATCCAAAAACATCTGAAATCTGAAACACTTCTGGTCCCAAGCATTTCAGACAAAGGATACTCAAAATATAGTGCTATTAAAGTCAGTCTCAATCAGATTCAGATTTGATTCACTTTTCTGCCTCTTCTAATTTGTTTTGACTTTGTAATTTACATTTAGGTCAAATATACATTTAGTATTTTTTCACTCTGAAAACTCCTATCTCTGTCAATTTTTTTTTTATTTTTATTATTTTTTTTGAGACAGAGTCTCACTCTGTCGCCAGGCTGAAGTGCAGTGGGACAATCTCGGCTCATTGCAACCTCTGCCTCCTGGCTTCAAACAATGCCCCTGCCTCAGCCTCCCAAGTAGCTGTGACTACAGGTACGCACCACCACACCTGGCTAATTTTTTGTATTTTAATAGAGACAGGGTTTCACCATGTTGGCCAGGATGGTCCTGATCTCCTGACCTTGTGATCCACCTGCCTCGGCCTCCCAACGTGCTGGGATTACAGGCGTGAGCTACCACACCTGGCCTAATTGTCATCTTTCTGACCTGCACTGTTACAGTTATTTCTCTTATTCATCATCTTAGCCACTTCATTATGTTCTCTCAATCTCTTTGGCGTTCCTTTCCCAATAACATCTATAGTTTTAACACCTGCTTTTCCAAATGAGCCTTTAAGTTGTCCTTCTCCTCCCATACTATGTCTTTCTGCCCCATGCTCTAGTCTTCCTTTTTCAACTTGGCAACTGCTCCTATAGAGCTATACAGGTCTGGAGCAAACATCTGTTCACCCAGAATTATCCCTCCATTTCTCAAATATTGTACTCATATTCCTTCTTTCTTTGAAAAATCTTTAAGCATTCTGGGGGGGGGGGGGAAAAAGACTCCCTCTGTTTCCTTTAGTTGTATTTTCTCTTTCCTTGGTACAACTGAAATACATTTAAAAGGAAATCAGAATGGTATATATATTTTTACTCCTCTCACATCCCTTTAGATTTAGAATTTAGAGATTCTAGAGAATGTAGACAATGGTTTTTGCCTGTTCTAAATAAAACCTAGTACAGGGTGGACACTCACATATTAAAAACAATAACCTTCAGTTACGCAAGCAATGCAGCAATCCTAACCTCCTTGTCCAGGTTTCACTGGCAGGCTCATCTCTGGTTTTTGGAGCCCTACTAATGGCACAGGGTTAATGGTGGATGAAGCGGAGAGCTGATTAGAAAGAGGCCCATCTCCTTCACCATCCAGTTGTAACCTTTTCACAGGCTCCTTTTCCCCTGGCTGGTCGTCCATTGGAGGATCCATCAGTACATCTGCTAGCTCTTTTTGCAGCTGCTGTTCACTTCCATTCCCTACAATCTAAGGGTCACAAATACATGCAATCAGCAAAGTGAGAAAGATTGGCCAGTACTGATTAAAATGGGTCCACATTCCAAAGAAAATCATTAGCATTTCTTTTGATACAAAGATATCTTCTGAATTTTTTTAAAAATAGAATAAATCAAGATCTGCAACAAACAAGGGTGCAGCTGCTCTCTCAATTTATATAGTTTTTCATGAAAAAGTACACAGTGAACTTGAGACTAATACCCAGAAATATATGCGATAGCCTGCCAATGTTATTAAAGTATTTTACTGTGTCCTAAACTAACAATAATTAAAAGATTTATAATTTTGTCTGATAAGAAATAATGCTTTTAAGAAGAACATCTTAGTGTCTCCTCTAGCCCTTAAGAAAAAAGGGAAAAATGTGCTTGCTTCCAAAAGGTATCAACAGAAACATACATATTAGGCAATACATTTTCACAGGTATTTTACCACTTCTGTCATATGCAAGTCTCTTGTATTTCTGAGGAAGACTTAAATGATATGAACAAGTTCTTAAAGTTCTGAAACACTTGAGTAAAGCTGACATGAACATACAAAATAGTCCTGAGAAATAAAAGCACTCTATTTCAATATCAAGTAATTTTATGGAGTCATGATGGGTTATTACTAGTTCCTCAACAAGGAAGCAAGTAAGTGCAAAATCAAGTGGAGACTGGTAAATGCCAAGGAAAACCACAAGTGACACAACACAGTGTTGTCACTAAATGCTTAAGAAATACTAAAAAAATTAACAAAAAAAAAATTGAGTTAGAAAAATGAAGTCATGGGAAAAGAGAGGGAGCCCTGATTTAGGAGGCTTTCTGAAGACTAAAATCTAACAAAAAGTTAAATTCGTCAGGACTAAGAGAATGAGGCCTACCCTAGCAAAATTAACACAGAGGCTAGGAAGCAAAATTCCAATAACAGAGGTAGGTATCTCTGGGCTACCAAGAAACCCAATTCAAGTATTTTTATTGATTCGGGCTTTCATAATTTCATAAACTTCAAGTCTCTTGTGCTGCAAATTATAATTGAGAAAAAGACAAGTCTTTTTTGCTGACTTTCTCCCAAGGAAATTCCAACACTTCAAGTACTTTTGCCTTAGAAATAAAGACCTCTTTCTTGGCTTCAATGACAATTTCTGTCTCTGTGAATTTCATTTCATGTTTGGAGTTATTGCTAATGGAAGTACAAGTGGGCTGAGTAATTTTAACCCTTTGTTAAATCAGATTCTACACATACACAAGTGCAACTGAATTTCTTTTCTCAGAAGTTCTGCTTTAAAAAGTTGGGTTTTTTTTTTTTTTTTTTTTTTTTTCTGATGGGCACAGTGGCTCACGCCTATAATCCCAGCACTTTGAGAGGCTGAGGTGGGCAGACTGCTTGACCTCAGGAGTTTGAGACCAGCCTGGGCAACATGGTGAAACTCCATCTCTACCAAAAATACAAAAATTAGCCATGCGTGGTAGCATGTGCCTATGGTCCCAGCTACTGGGAGGCTGAGGTGGGAGGATCGCTGGAGCCCGTGGAGTTGAGGCTGCAGTGACCTCAGATCATGCCACCGCATTCCAGCCTGGGTGACAAAGCAAAACTCTGTCGTAAAAACTTTTTTTTAAAAGAGACACCATATCACTATGTTGCCCAGGGTGGACTTGAACTCCTGGGCTCAAGTGATCCTCCCTCATCAGCCTCCCAAGTAACTGTGACTACAGGCAGTGCCACCATGACCAGCTTAAAGAGTTCTGAAAGCACCTAAAAATCAAACTAAAGCTTAGATCCAATTAGCCTCTTTTCAAAACTGGAAGAGAAATACTGTATCACCTGCAGTAAGCAAAAGACAGCCCAAGTGAACCTAAACTAACTTTTCTAAGGGTAGGGAGAAATATAGGAGTAGAGTTATATAGCTTCCCAAAAGCAGATGAGAGAAGATACTAGATTCCCTGTTGAAGCAATTAGTAACTACAATTGGGAATGCAACTGTAATTGAAGAAAGACATAATACGTGCTATGAAGTACTGTTTTGCTCTTTGGCTTATGAATAAACCCAAGTTTTCTGTTGGGATAGGCTGCCTACGTTGTAACATATTTACCAATCACAGAAATGTAGCTAACCCTAAAATAAAACATGTTTATATATTTGCCTTGTGTTTATACATGTTTATCTTGCATTCTTCCCTACTTTATAAATTTTATAAACATAAGAACTGTCTTCAATGTCCTTAACTCTTCCTTAAAAACTAGGAAAAAGTAATGTACACACACAAAATAGTTTTAAGAGTGGTTTAAAGATAGTAACCTAACAAATGCCTTGAATAATCTTATCAAATACAATACTCAACAATTACCATGTTAGATCATTTGTGAACCTTCAATGCAATTGCAAATTACTACCTGTGACAGTATAGTACACATACTTTTTTTTTTTTTTTGAGGCACAGTCTCGCTCTGTGTGTTGCCCAGGCTGGAGTGCAGTGACACAATCTCGGCTTAGTGCAACCTCTGCCTCCCAGGTTCAGCCGATTCTTCTGCCTCAACATCCCAAGTAGCTGGGATTACAGGCACGTGCCAACACACCCAGCTAGTTTTTGTATTTTTAGTAGAGACGGGGTTTCGTCATGTTGGCCAGGCTGGTCTTGAACTCCCGACCTCAAGTGATCCACCCACCTTGGCCTCCCAAAGTGCTGGGATTACAGTCGTGAGCCACTATGCCCAGCCGATATACTTTAATCAATTAAGTTATTTTTTATTTTTAAGACAGTCAACTAATTTTGTCTAAACCAAGCTGGGAAACATTCAGCAGTGCCTTTCAAGGTTCTGAAACTTTGACAAGCATCAGAATCACCAGGAGAGCTTGTTGAAAGACTGTTGGGCCCTACCTGAGTTTTCAATTAAGTAAGTCTGGGGTGGTACTCAATAATTTGAATTTCTAAAAAATTTCCAGATCACAGTGATGCTGCTAGTCTGGGAACTGCACTCTGAGAAACAATCTTAGATTAATGATTTTTGACCATCACTATCCAAAAAAATTATCAGTATTACTAGGGAATATGAAATGAACAAAAGCATGTAATATATAGTATGGTATCTGTCACACAGTCAACATTAATACATATTAATCTTTTTTCAGAAGTTCTGCTTTAAAAAGTTGGTTTTTTGCTGGGTGCAGTGGCTCAAACCTATAATCCCAGCACTTGGAGAGGCCGAGGCAGGCAGATTACTTGAGGCCAGGAGTTCTAGACCAGTCTGGCCAACATGGCACAACCCTGTCTCTACTAAAAAACACAAAAGTCAGCCAGGCATCGTGGCATGCACCTGTAGTCCCAACTACTCAGGAGACTTAAAGAGTTAAAGAGGAGAATCGTTGAACCTGGGGGAGCGGAGGTTGCAGTGAGCCAAGATCGTACCACTGCACCCCAGTCTGGGCGACAGAGTGAGACTCTATCTCAAACAAACAAACAAACAAAAAACCTCCACAGATGATTCTGATACACAGAATCACTGAGAAACACTGCCTCAAATCAAAATCCCAAAGTACGATGCCAACATAGTATTTACCAGACGGTCCACATATGCATCAAAATACATATGGTACTTTTTGAAAATGCAAATCCCTTGACTCCACCCAAGAAAAACCTCTGTGCATGGGCCCCAAGAATCTATATTCTGCACCCCATGAGACGTTCACATGTAACAAAGTTTGAGAACCACTGGGCTAGGAACTTACACAGTTCATTTACTTTCTAATATGAATGATTCGTTATGATAAAAGGACTAACTGCGAATGACTGTTACTTTTGGCACAAGAGGCTAGGAAAGTTGCCTATTTAGTTTCCAGCCTCCCTTACGGCTACATTTATTTTCTAATATGAATGGTTCATTATGATAAAAGGACTAACTGCGAATGACTGTTACTTTTGGCACATGTCCATCTCCACTAGAGAGGCTAGAAAAGTTGCCTATTTAGTTTCCAGCCTCCCTTAGAGCTATGGCTTACCATATAACACAATTTTAGCCTTTGAGATGTAAACAGAAATTGGCTGGGAAGCTTCTGGAAGACTGTTGATTTTCTCAATAAAATAAATGAGCATGACTGGTGTTACCCCCTTTCTCTCTTCTTCTTGCCTTGGAACATGCATATAGAACCGTGGGGGATGTACTATGAATGAGGTGACACAGAACAAAATGTCAGTAAACCAAGTCAAGCACAGTGGCCTGTGCCTGCAGTCCCAGCTACTCAAGAGGCTGTGGGGAAGGATCACTTGAGGCCAGTCTGGGCAACATAAGGAGACCCCCTATCTTAAAAAAGAGTCAGTGAGCCAAAAATCAATGAGCGGATAAAAGAAATTGGGTCCTTAATGGTATAGATCAGAAGTTAAGAAACATTTTCTTTAAAGGGCCAGATAATAAATATTTTAGGCTTTGCAGGCTTTATATGTAGTCTCTCTTGCAGCTACTCAACTCTGACTTTGTAGCATGAAAGCAGCCATAAACAATGTGTAAACAAACTAATGTGGCTATGTTCCAATTACACTTTATTTACAAAAACAGGTGGCAGGCCAGACTGGGCCAGCAGGCTATAGTCTGTTGAACCCTGGTATGGATGAACAAGTTAAACCAACTAGCAACTGCCTATGTCCAGACTTCTTATAGCAGAAAAATAAACCCACTCTTAGTAGGGCTCTCTTCCTTGCTGCCAATAGCATTCCTAACAGATACCACAATCATCTTTAAAATAAATGTAGTTTCAGGTAAAGTAATGAAGACACTGTGGCATCAGTGAAAAGGCAAATATATAGATCAATGGCACAGAACAGAGTCCAGAAATAGATGTGCATATATGGCCAACTGATTTTCAACAAATTGTCAAGGTTATTAAATGGAGAAAGTGACAAAACAAATGAAGCTGGAACAATTAATCTGACATCTATATACAAGTACATGAATCTCAAGAGTTCACATCATATACAAAAAATTAACTCAAAAAGGATTAC